CTAAGAATTTAACGATCATTTTCATCTTTCACCTATCAAAAATTTCCCTTTTTTGTTCGAAAAGGTTTATTTCGGCCAACATTTTATAGACTCGCGAGTCAAAGATCTACCTGTTTATGAGCGCTCGTGTTAGAGTTTGTCTTCCGCTAAGACCTTGACAGATAGTTTGACACATACTCGAACCGTTCCGAGTCTCGCTGTTTACATCTTGTGTCGCGCAAGAATTTCACGGTTTACTCGAGTTCGAACCTCGTCTGGGAACCCACACATGTATTTATTACAAAACAATATTGTTCGTAACAACGCCAACAATAAAAAACATTTCAGATATTTTAAGATTTCGACTTGACGATAAAAATATACAGTATTATGATTTATTATAAACAATGAAACACAATGAATTTTCTTTGTAATGCGCAGTCTTCGTACGAATTATGCATTATGGTATTATGCGTGGACATGGGCATCCGCGAAATTTTCTGGGAACGGTTTGTTTTTGTTTTATTCGCATACGGCAACACAACACGTGGGTGAGCTGCCGAAGCAAGCCAATTTTTGATAAGAAAATATTTCCTCCAAAAAAATTCCTCCAAAGAAAATATCTGAAGCCAATACTGTACATGGGGCCTCTAAATCAAGTTCGCCTGGACCCCTTGAAGCTTTAATGCCCGAATGAAAAAAACAGGAAAACACGAAATAGTATAAAATAGGGTTTCTCATTTCCCGGTATTTTGCTTGTCCCGGGATCCCGGGATAAAAGTGAACTGTTTCCCGGGATCCCGGGAAATCCCGGGATAGAATTAATTATTTTTAAGGTATACAAAATATCTTGAAATCAAATGATATAATTATTTTCCATTTTTTAAAGTAATTTTAAAGTTTTGTAACCTCCAAAATCATATTAATAATGCTGTGTTAGGTCTATAGGCCTATAATAAAAATTACCTTTAAATAACGTAGAAATTTTCACAAATAGAAAAAAATTAATTAAAGTTTGCTGGAAACTGCATACAACAACAACAAAAAAAA